TTGGTTGACCTCTATCAGGGTTGTGCGTTATCTACCAAGTACATCGGGCAGTGGTCCTTACAGGGCCCGCAGACGCTTCATGGGTGGACGACGCTGAGACGCTCAGGTCCTCCCAGGTCTACTGCTTTAGCTTCGGTGCAGGTGCCATCTCGTCGAGGTCCACCCGCTCGTCGTCTGTTGCACAGTCTAGCTGTGAGGCTAAGATCTACAGTGGTTCCATGGTGGCACACGAGCTCCGCTAGCTGACTTTCTTGCTCACAGACTTAGGTGAGCGGCCTAGCTCTGCCTCGGTCCAGTACGCTGACAACAGGGCCATGATCCTCCTGTGTCAGGAGGTTCGACTGGAGGGCAGAGCAAAGCTTTCCAGGACTGTGTACAACTTAGTCTAGTTCCTGTAGCTCCTCACTTGCTAGGACCCAGACTTGTGTCGGGACAGCACCGTCAGGACCAGCACCCCCAGAACTAGCACCCCCCCCAGAACCAGCACCCCCAGCGCCAACACCCACAGAGCCCGCTGGTTCCTGCTGTTGCGGCGGCTGCTGCTGCTCTTGTGGCGGTGGTGACTGCTGCTGTTGTGGCGACGTGGGCACTGGGGCCGGGGGTGCAGGTGCCGTAGAAACATACGGCGCACCCGGAGCCTTGGGACCCCCAGATTTAGCAAACTCCTCTGCCGGGCCAATCGAGGGAAGGGGAGTGACCTTAGACACACCAGATGGGGCAGGACGGGAAAAGAGGGGAGGGGGGGCTACCGCGGAAGGGGCGAAAAGGAACAAGGACGGGGTAGCCGGGAGACCTCGGTGATGGAAACGGGTGTAGAAGGAGGCAGACTCATCGAAAATGACGTCACGCGAGTGGAGGAAATGGGGAGACAGCGGGTGGTAGAAGTGCCAGTTAGAAGCGTTAAAGTGGAAACCAAGGAAGCCACAAGGGACAGTACGGGGGGTAAGCTTGTCCGCGCAAGAGTCGCGGACGTGAGCAAGGCAGCCCCAGACGTGGAACGCAGACGCGACACCATGGGACCCGATTCAGAGGAGGGTCGGCGAAACTTGCGGGCGTGAAGCGGGGGGGCACATGCTAAGCTGGTGAGTGGCGTAACGGACTGCAAATGGCCACAAAAAATGGGGTGCATCGACATGGATAATGGAGGTACGAGCCACCTCCTTGACCAAATCGATGCTTCCTACAGCAATCCCATTCTGCTGTGGGGAGTCTGGGAGTGTGTACGACCGTGTGACGCCCTCCATATGACAGAACTGGCCAAGTTGACCGGAGGCGAACTCGCAGCCACGGTTGGAGTGGAGACGGAGCGTAGGCTAGACTCGGGCAGCTTACAAGCCACGGGATAAGAACGTCAGGCACGTCGGCCTTCCGCTCCAGGGGAAACGCTGTTGTGTAGCGCGAGTAGTCCTCCACGAGCACTTGGAAGTAGCACTCGCGTCGCGGCCCACGGATCGGGGCTGGGCCCAAGACGTCTAGGTGCAGGGTCTGGGGGGAAATGAGAAGGAGTGAGGAGCAGCGTGTTGCCGCCCCTCAACGCAAGGCATGCACGGAGGCGCGAGCGAGGGAGAGAGGACAGGGAGCGACACACGGAGACCTAGGACAAGACCGTGCTACAACATGTGACGGAGATGCGGGAGAGCGGGGTGACCTAAACGGTGGTGCCACATTTGGGACGAGTGAGTGAGCAATCGACAAGAGCAAGCTGCAGCGACCTGCGTAGACGCAGCCACATGGGGGGACACATGCACTTGGGGGGACGCGGCGTGCAGCGTGAACAGGCCAGTTACAGGGTTCCGGGGAAACGTGGTGAGTGGAGCACCAGTTGCGGCCTCTGTATAGATTGCATACTGCTCGTGTCTAGGGAACGTGGTGGTGACTCCGAGGTCTTGAAGATGGCCTACACCAACCAGGTTCCTGGAAAATGAGGGGATGTGCAGAGAGAGCCAGAGCCAGAGGAAACCGCCGAACAGAGAAGTGCGGTGGAGCTGCGTGCAACTACCTGACCTGAGCAGGGGTCTGCAAGGGAGTCTGCTGCCAGTGCAGGAAGCGGCGTAAGAGTGGTGTGGTAGCGGAAGAAGTAGGCGGATGCACCAAAGTCCAACGTGAAGGAGAGCACAGCGGTAGCGTCAGTCGGCGGGCGCGAGGGTGGAACCAAGGCTACACAAGACAGAAGGCTAGCTGCCAAGGCTGCCTCCGCGGCCACCACCAGCGAATTCGCCTGGCCCCCACGGTGGTGGGGGCCCCCAATGCTGTTGTTGCTGCTGCTACTACTACTGCTGCGGCCGCTGCTGCTGCCTCAGCTGCTACTGCTGCTGCTGCTCCTACTGCTGCCACTACTCCCCTGGGGCTTCAGCCCCCACCCCTTCATCCACACCCCCAACACTCCCACCACCCCCATCACCCCCACCACCCCCAGCATTCCTCCTCCTCCCCCCATGCCGCCCCCTATGGTGATAGGGGCCTCTACCCTAAAGAGGCAGCACCGAGGCTCGGCGACACTAGCCGTCTTAGCGACCGAGTAAGTGCACTTGGAGGGGGCACAACCCTGGAAGATAGGGTCCGCCGCAGTACCGCGAGACTGAGTGATAGTGCGCTAGCGAGTCCCTATCGCCGACAGGGTGGCGACTAAAGCGTCAAGGTTGAGGTCAGCGGGGTGGAGACTAAGGAAGGTGTCACAGGAGGTGACTAGGCGGGCAGGGAGGCACGTGGCTAGGAAGAAAAGGGTAGCGCCATGGGGAGGGGGGAGTACAGTGAGCTGAGCCTCAATGCTAGCATGTCAGGGAAGAGCAAGGGCAGGAGGAGACTGCCAGTAGAGGCGGAGGAGGGAGTGGAATAGCGAGCGATAATATCGGCTAGATACTCTTGCGCAGTGTCTATGGCCTGAAAGTGGGGACGCTTGGTAAGCAGGAGGACATGGCTGATAGCTGGTTGCACACTGGCGTCATGCGACTCCCAGACAGAGCGAGCGAGCTCAGCAGCCGCGAAAGCCTCAAGCACAGCAAGCGCGACGTCAGCAGCGAGGGCAGCAGGCATGGGAGGGCAGGGCAGCTTACTGTCGACATGGACGGCCTGAGTCTGGCCGTCTTGGCGCTGACCCTTCAGCTGGCGGTGCATGTCGGCTGGCCACGCCTCGTAAGCCACCGCATGACCCTCGGCGTCCAGGCGGAGGACGGCGTCCGCCATCACGTATGCTTGTCAGCAGAGGCGGCTGCGTCTCATCAGCAGCGGCCGCACGACAGCACATCTGCGGCAGCTGACGGACACAAAAGGAGGAGCCGGGAGCAAGAAAGTGTAGTGTAGTGCGATGTGGAGCAGTGTAGTGCGGTAGAGAGCGGTTGAGTGCGGAGTAGGCGGTGGAGTGCAGTAGAGCGCACACAGCCGGTGAGGACGCCAGCTGAGTAGACGAATCAGGACCGACGACGAGTTGGGATCGGGGCAAGCAGAGGCTAGCGTGGCTTCGAGCAAGGGCCGACGTGGCGACGAGCAGGGGCTGGCACGGCGGCGAGCAAGGGCCGGCGCGGTGGTGATCTGGGGCCGGTGTCGAGCCACGGCCTGCTCGAGCAGGGGCCGGCGCGGCGAGCTGGGGCCAGCGGCGAGCAAGGGCCGGCGGCGAGCTGGGATTGACGGCGAGCTGGGGCGGCGCTGCGGGCTGGGGCGGCACGACGGGCTGGGGCCGGCGGCGAGCTGGGGCCGGCGCGACGAGCAGGGGCTGGCGGCGAGCTGGGGTGGCGCGACGGGCTGGGGCCGGCGGCGAGCTGGGTCGGCGCGGCGGGCTGGGGCTGGCGTGGCGAGCTAGGGCCGGCGCGGCGAGCTAGGGCCGGCGCGGGGAGCTAGGGCCGGCGCGGCGAGCTAGGGCCGGCGCCTGAGGGGAGGGGAGGAGGGGGGAGGGGGGGTGGGGCGCTAAGGGCGACGCGACGCGAGACTAGGGCGGCGCTCTAAGGGCTGCGCGACGAGCTTGGCTAGGGTGGGTGCGTGGGCGGGTGGGACCTACCTAGCGTGATGCCATGTTAGAATAGCGAATTGAGTTCTAACAAGGCATACAGGGGAGTAAATGATTGGGTGTTGTACTCTCTAAGAGTACTTACCTGTCTAGCCTATAACTATACATGTACCGTAATCCCCCGTATAAAACACCCGCTGGAATTAAGCTCCCCCGGGTAGCTTGAGCGGGTATGGGTGTTTAATTTTTCTGGATATACACAACACCCTACTCTCGGACGTGAAAACTTTTGAACACCCCCCTGCCACTAGAATCTCCATTTCTAGCACGAAACGTCAGAATTTCGTATTGCGTCGTTCCGCGGCTCAATCGCAAAAAACTTCTCGCGCCGAAAATTTACTGTACAGATTCCCGCGTGTCGGAAACAATGTCGCCTGAACAGAGGTTTTGAAACATGCCCATGAATCTCGGCAGGCTGAACCTGACGTTGCACCTTATGGAACAGCACTAAAACATTCCGCGTCAGAATTCGTGACACTGTAGCTCGCGAGTCTGGGAAGGTTCCCTGGGAAGAGGCTCGTAGAAACACGCTCTTAGGTAGGAGACGAATCTGCCCGAACGAAAACAAAATCAACGAGAACATTGAAATCCGAAAGTTTGAGACTGTACTCGACATTCGCGCGTCCCGCCAAATTAAACGTGTGCTCATTGGTTGTTCTGACAGCATCCTCCCTGACACTGCATGCTCACTGCGAATGTGGCATGCAGATCGGGAATATCGTCCAGTATGCAACGAGATGACCAAAAGTGGGTATCTGACTCAAATGAATGTGGTGAAACAGGCTCAAAAGTGTGCCTGAAAAAAAAAACCACAGTATACACCATATGCACATTCCATAACTCCTGGGTGTTTTTATTTTTTTTGGCATACACCTAGTGAGCCGTTCATCAGGCACTCTGACCCAATAAAAAAACCATATGCACATTCCATAACTCATGGGTGTTTTATTTTTTTGGCCTTTAAATACACCCAGCCCAAAATTTTGCTGCATTCTTATTAACACCATAGGGTGCTTTATACGGGGGATTACGGTATGACTGTATAAGTTGACTCTACATTCCTTGCCTGCTTTTGCGGACACACCAGCCAGCTCTTGAATCCAGGCCAGCCACTGTTAACACGTGAAAGTCAGCTTGCAGAAAGCATTGCCCAAGGCAGAAGCGTCTCGAGACTTAGACATCCCTACAACCACAGCATACACCTAGTGAGCCGTTCATCTGGCGCTACCACTTGCTTATTTCTGCTCATGAGATCATTAAGCTGCCCGTCACTGCTGCCGGCTGAAATAGCCATCGATGCGGTACATCTCCTTTGCTCTTGGTGCTGTGTGTGGCCTGGCTTTCACTGGCTTGCGCTTGGCTGATGGTGTGGCTCGTGAAGGCTGGAGGAGAGAGGGTGGGAGCACAGGGACGAAATTGGGGAGGAGAAAAGAAGGAAAAGGCTGAGTGCAGCACAAATATCCAATGCACAAGCATGTCGGCTGAAAATGGGCATGTGCACGTTCACATGCACTCGTATAACACAGCTACGGCACATGCTGCACATGTCCAGATGTTCATGCACAACGCACCGATGGTGCCAGCACTTTGGATGACAGTATCATTCTCATTTAACCCACTCACCTCGCTGCCACTTGGCTTGAGCACCCGTTGCACTCCTCCCCTGCCGTCAGGCCCGATGGCCACGAGTGGAGTAGCGGAGAGGGATGGAGGGGGAGAGGCAGAGGATGCCAATGAGGCACGACCTGATGACAGGGGTTTGCCGTGCAGGCTGCTGCTGGAGGGTCCTGCTTGTATCCCTGCTCCTGGTTCAACCCCTGGTTCCATCCCTGCTCCTGCCACTGTGCTTGTGTCAAGCTCTGCGTCGGTCCCTGTGCCTGCCCCTGCTCTCGGCTCTGCTGCACAGGTGGAGCTGTTGCTGGGCCTGGCTATTGCACCTGATGCCGTGTTCGCTGCTGCACCGCTCTCACCACCACCACCACTAGGACTGGTACCAGCAGCGATGCCAGAACGAGCAGCATTGGTAGCAGTAGCGGCGGCAGCAGCAGCAGCAGCAGCAGCCATCCCACCAGTATTCTTCCTGTTGCCTGCAAGTTTGGAGGTGCAACACTCAGCAGCAGCAGCAGCAGCAGCAGCAGAAGCAGCAGCAGAAGCAGCAGCAGCAGCATGCACGGAAGGCTCATGCAAGCCAGGCAGGTGCTTGGGAGCGAGCACAAAAGCAGCCTTGCGTCCCGACACATGCACATGCACCTTGGAAGATGAATCCCCCCCCTGCTGCTGCTGAGAATTATGATGATCTAGGTGGAGGTATTGGGAGGAAGTTGAGAGGACGAACGAGCGGGCTGAGGGGGAGAAGGTTGGCCGTGGCTTGTGGCGAGTGAGATAAGGGAGGGAAGAGTGTGCGAGGAGCCGAGAGAACTGTGGGGTTGGGAGGGCTGGGGTGGAGGGAAAAGAGGCAGGGTTGAGAGGTGGGGAGAGAGAGAGAGAGAGAGAGAGAGAGAGAGAGAGAGAGAGAGAGAGAGAGAGAGAGAGAGAGAGAGAGAGAGAGAGAGAGAGAGAGAGAGAGAGAGAGAAGAGCAAAGCGTTCACGGCAAAGCGTGCACGGCTCGGGCGAAGAGCGTGCTCCCCCCCCATCGTCGAACGCCCGCAGCCCGCCTCCGAGGGACGGGACGCAACTGGCAGAGACGACCGCCACACATGGGATCGGCAGGGGCAGGGGTAGAACGCGCGGGAGAGGACGGGGCCGAGCCCGACAGACGAATCTGATGGCTGGAGGCGGCCCAGTCAATGGCTTCCAGAGAGCTGTGGGGAGGGCTTTAAGGGGACAAGCTCGGGAACAAACAACTGATGAGGAGGAAAGACGAGACGCCACTTATACGGCGGACGAGGACGTCAACTCAGAGTCGCCCACAGACAACTCTGAAGAGAGTGACGGGGAAGAAGCTGGAGCGAGGCGAGGCGGGGGGAGGGCGCGAAATGCTCCCAACCTTGGGCCACGAAACCTGCGAACTGCGCGTAACACCCGCGCCAGCAACGCACAAACGAACCAGTCCCAGAGGCAGTTCTCGCCGGAGGAGCTATTGTCCAACGAATCATTGTTCGCGGGGGTGGCGGGATGGGATATCGATCTGCTGTGCGACAGTCGCCAACCCCCGATTTCCCGCAGGATCCCCCCCAAACTTCGCCAGCTCTTCGCACTGGCCCTTCTGACACCCCTCCTCCGTATCACACAAAAGCCAACTAGCCTCGCTGGATGGCATCTGTTACTCTTCGTCCCCCGGTTAACCCTTTGCCTGAATTCGCCCAAACACCCTGATTGGGCCACAGTGGAAAAACGACTGCAGCAATTCCTGGCGGGCGAATGGCATCTGCTGTACCTGTTAGCAATCGACGCCGTGAACAACCCCCCCACGCCCCGCCACGCTGCAGATTCCCTCGGCAAAATATCAAGGGCGGAGGGGCTTGTTCGCCGTGGCAGTCTCAGGCGCGTGTCGCACACAGCTCTCTCTTCGGGTATCCTGCCACCCAACTAGCCGGGCTCTCCTGGTGGCTGCCTCCGCTTGTATGTTATGAGGCTCTTTGTATGTTATATGAAAGCCCGAGGCGAAATCTCTCAGCCAAAGATTTGCTCGCTACCCCTCAGTTTGGTCTCCCTTCATGGATCTGGTTTAGCTCAGAAAAATGTATTCACTAGCAAGAGCCATACAACCTTCCCAATGTTACGAGAGAACAAACAGAGTAGCTGACATACGACGAACAAGCTCCTTTACGCTACTCCTAGCCGAAGGCACTCCGTCACCCAGGTCCCGCACTCCCTCGAGGTTAGCCTTTTTACCTGCACTAATGATTACGCCTCCTCGCTGTCCCCCTGAATCCGGCCCCTTACCTCCCTCACTCTTCTGCATGTCGACCTAACCAGCCGCTCCTGTCCCCACTGAGCTGGACACTGTCTCCCATTCGCCACCTCCAGCTGTCTCGCCCGCTCAATCCCATGAGCTTTTCGACCCATCACTGTACTTCCCCACATTACCCCGCATAACAATCCTCTTTACGTATTTTCCTTACACTTTCTACACCTCTTCCCTTCCGCGCTGTCCCATATATCTCATGACACTTTTCCGTTCATGCGATTTATGCGACACGCGCACTGCTGGCGCTTGATTCAACACCAGTCAGCGATTCAACTCCCGAAGTCTTGGAGTCGCTGAAATCAAAACACCCCGCCCCGTTGACCGAGTCAATCGCCTGGCCAGTCATCGACGAGTCAGAGGCGCGACCCACAATTTCGCATGCTGAGTTCGTCCGGTTACTCAGCCGTTGCGAGAATGGGGTCGACGCTGGCCCTTCAGGAATGTGTTTCAAACACATTGCGAAGCTGCCCTCACCAATGGAACAGTCGCCTGTAAGCTGCACGAACTGGCGATCCGCCTGCTGAAAGGGAACTCAACTGCTGAAATTGCAGCACTCCTCACTGCTAGCCGCCTCATCGCGTTCCCCAAGCCCGGGGGAGGCACGCGCCCAATCGCCATTGGGGAGTGCATCCACCGCCTCGTGGCGAAGGCGGGCCTTACCACTATGACGGAGCAGGCACGGACCCACTTCCTACCGCTGCAGTTCGGGGTAGCACTACGAGCGGGCGGCGAAGCGATCATCCATGGAGCGCGCACATACGCATCAGAATTCCCTTCCGCCCTCATACTCCAAGTCGACCTGTCGAACGCTTTCAACAGCGCCGACCAAGCCGCGATCGTCGCAGGGCTCTACAACTCGCCCCTCCGACCGCTACTCCCCTTTGTCCAGCTCTCATACGGGGCCCCCTCACGCCTCTACCTCGACGCGGGCTTCAGCAGCGGGCCACTCCTTAGCGCCCGGGGAGTTCGGCAGGGGGACCCAATGGGCCCCCTGCTCTTCGCGGCCGCCATGCACCCAGCACTCCAGGCGACGGCCTCAGCGTTCCCCAACGTCCTCTGCCTGGCGTACGCCGACGACATCACACTGCTAGGAGAACCCTCGGCGTGCACAGCAGCGTTCACGCACCTCACAGAGGCCCTGCGCCCCTTGGGTCTCACGCACAACCCCTCCAAGTGCGCGGGTTGGTCTTCCTCCCAGCCCCCCGCCTCCCTCCTCCCCCCCGGCATCCCCTTCTGCTCCGATGGGCTGCGCGTCCTCGGGAGCCATATCGGCCCACCCGAGGCAACAACCGCCTTCCTTCGAGAGCAGCTGGCCGACATGGCCAGACCACTCCCCATCCTGGCAACCATGGACCCCCAATCCGCCGCCCTCCTCCTCCACCGCTGTGTCTCGCGGGGGGTGTCCTACCTCACCCGCACCACCCCCGTCAACCTATTGCCCGCAGAGGAATGGTCCCAGTGGGGCCAGGAGCTCTTCCACACCTTACTCCGCTCGTGCAAACTCCAGCTTCCACAGGGAGAGCGGGAATTGTCGCGCACGTGGCAACAAGCCTCCCTGCCCCCCTCTCTGGGCGGCCTTGGCCTCCCGGACCCCGCGGTGGAGGGCCCCCATGCCTTCCTCACTAGCATCACCCAGGCCCACCAGCTCCTGGTTTCCCTGCCCTCGGACCCGACCGGCCCACTCGCAGCGGCAGCATGCTCCCTGGCTCCTCCCTTCACCAGCCCAACCCCTCTACATACCTGGCTGGCAGAGTGCGAGGAGGCTCTCCCAGCCCCAGCCATGAAGCTCCTGCAGACCGAGCGGGCCGAATCCACTGACGAACCACTCCAGCACCGTCTGGCTCTGGAGGTGCACGCAGCCCGCTTCGCCAGCCAGCTGGCCGCATTAAGGGAGATGGAGCTCAATCCCCTTAGCGGCCACACCCAGAGACTCCTCTCCCTCACCGGGTACGGCGCCGGCGATTGGCTCCTCGCCATCCCCCTGTTTCCCTCGCTCCAGCTGGCGCCCCCCACACTATGCCATAGCCCTGGCATTCCGTATGGGCCTCCCCTTCCCTGCACCCAAAGTCTGCAACTGTGCCAAGCGGGTGGCAATCGAGGACCCACGACTCCCAAACCACCTCTTCCGCTGCGGGACAGGGCACAGCCGCACCGACACCCACAATGCCCTCCGTGATGAATGCATTCGCATGGGCCGGGATGCCCAACTCATAGTCACGAAACAGACTGCGTTACAACCCCGTCGACGGCAAGTCCGCCGACTAGGCTGTGCGAGACCGGGACTCGGGGGCGGTCTGGATCTGTGACGTCACCGTAACCGACCCAGTAAGACCCACTGGCCCGCAAGGGCCGCGGCTATATGGCCCGGGAAGAAGCCGACAAAAAGATCGACGACTACCGCCACAGGGAGGCATATGTCGGATTCTTCCCGCTTGCGGTCGAGACGTATGGCTGCCCATGCGCCGAAGTGCCAACCTTCCTCAAACTCCTGGCACACACGGCCACCCGCCACCTTTTCAACAACGACCCCAGCTCCTACCAGGCGGCAAAACTGCTAAGTCAGTTCCGCCAGCGCTGGTCCGTCACCCTCCAGCGGGGACAAGCCCTCACCTACCTCGGGAAGGTGAATGAGGCCTCACCACTTGAGTGGCCACCCCTAGGCGCGCCTGAGGCGGGCATGTCCCTCGGGGACTGCTTCGCTGTCATTGAGCACCCTAGGGAACTGCCGTAGACTAGGAGCCTGGCCAGGATTATCATCCATGCTTCTACTCACCTTATATGCTTCGCCTGTACCCAGGGTCTCCCAGCAATGAAGGACCGTTTGAGAGAGAGAGAGAGAGAGAGAGAGAGAGAGAGAGAGAGAGAGAGAGAGAGAGAGAGAGAGAGAGAGAGAGAGGGAGCCTATGTCCCTTAGTATTTAGAGCCCTCAGTCCTCTCATTCCTCAGTTTTGAGTTGGGTTTCTTATTTTTCTCCTTCCCTTGGTGGCGGCTCGCGCCGGCGGCCTTCGGCCGCGCGTTTGGGGACGGCAAGGACTCTGCAAACCATTCATCAACAACAACCAGCAATGACAGCCTACGCCCCACGGGCCAAGCACACACCCTAGCAACTACCTATTCCGGCGGCATGGAGAGCCTCATCAGCCGTGCTGAGGGACTCTCGCCGGTGAGAGCGGCGCCCTACCGCACGTACGCGTGGAGGGGGCCGGTCACGCAACTTGGTCTGCTCCCGCTTCCTCGAGAAGGGCCGCCACATAGCCCACCAGGAGCTGGAGCGCTGACAAGGCGCCGCCAACAATGTCTACAGCTGCGGCCGAGTCTATGCTCGCCGACACTGCACGCATCACGACGAGCAGACGTGGGTCCAACACGGTTCCCGGGGCGGGCACGGGCTGCACTCGCGTCGACACGACGGCGAGATCAGCTGCTGCCATCGCACAGCGGTGAAGAGGATCATGAGGCATCCTGCATGGGCTCGCTGAGTTCCGAAGCACGGAGTGTGAGTCCGCCAGCATCTCCACGGCGATCCCCATCGCCCGCCGCGCGTGCCAAAGCCGACGAAGCGTGGCGACTGGGATCGCCGTCTCCGCGTGACGCCCACGCCCCCGAAGCCGCTCCAGCTGCACCCTCAGCGGCATCCGCAAGCCGCTTGACCGGCGCGGCTCCAGCAGCTCCGGGGGGGAGCCCTCGTCGCAGGACTCCGCCCCCCCCATCTCCGCTGCTTCTGCCCCCCCCTCAACCCCAGTTGGGGATGTCAGAGTCCGCCGGGGGGGAACAAACGGCGCTGCAGCCTGCTCGTCAAAGAACAGCGGGGGATGCAGGCCTGCGGGCCAGCCCGCTGCTGATGCCTCCAGCAGCGGCGGCTGCCAGCTCGGCAGCGACCGCACCGTCGGTACTCCCGTCGGCACAGCCACTGGACGCGACGGGTAGTGCAGGCCGGGCTGCTGCAAGGGCTGATACGGGGGGGCAGGGGGATGGGGTGCCTGAAGATGCTGCCGGAAGGGCGGCGCCTGCTGTGCCACAGACGCACGCGGAGGACAGGATGGGGCCGGCATGCGCGGTTGGGCGTCCTGTGAGGGGTACACTTGCCCGGCCGGGAACTGCGGCTGAGGATAACCGGGCGCCGATTGAGGCGCAGCAACCGATCGGAACAGGTTCTCCAGCGTCGCCGCGGCGCGGCCCAGCCGCCTCTCCGCAGCTGACCCGCGACCGTTCCCACCGCCAGCCCGCCACCCGCGGCGTGGACCGGTCTGCCCCCGCTGCCCCTGCGGCGTCCGGTGCTGCTGGGCTGGGGCCGCCTGCGCCCCCCGCTGAGGCGTACCTCGGCGCGACAGCGCCGGCTGAGGCTGCTGCGGCTGCGGTGGCTGCGTTATCCCCGGCCGGTCGCGGTTCGCATGCTCAGGAGCCTTCCGCCCGGGCCGGGCCGGGGACGAGTGGCGGCTGCCCGACAGGCGCTCCGGGGTCTGCTGCCGGCTCGTTGTTGCGACTGGGAGCCCGCGCTCCCAATCGTAGTTCGAGGGCGGTGGGGAGCTCGCCCGATCTCGGAGGGGGGCGCTCTCCCCTGTACTCTCCAAATCGCGGGAGCGCTCATGATGGGGACGCTCGACTCCCACCGCATTCAGGGGGAAATCCATTGACGGCCCGAACACCCCCCACGGCCTCGCCCGCGCGACGGACCGGACGGCGCGCGTCGGCTGGGGAGTTAGCTGGACGCGGTGGAGGCAGGGCCTGGAGAGGTCGGGGGCGCGGGCGAGGTCGGGCGGGAGACCTGTCACGGGATGGCAGCCCGATGAACGACTTCCAACAGGCTGCTAATCGGGCTTTAAGGGGGGGGGTGCAAAGGGAGGCAACTGACGAAGAAGAGAGACAAGATATCACTTATGTACCTGAGAGCCGCCTCGAATCATCCACGGAGGAGTCCGGTGACGCTCTGGAAGACAGGGCACCATTGCGTGGAAGGGGCGGGAACCCATCCCCATCGCCCAGATTTCGCAGTCGAGGGCCAGTTGGCACGCAAACGCTGGGCTCTCCCGCCCAGGCGGCCAGAGGGAGGGCGCGAAACGTGCGAAACTCCCGCGCCAGCGTTACGCATGCGACCCTGCTCCCAAGGCAATTCTCGCCATAGGAGCTGTCATCCAACGAATCGCTATTCGCCGGGGTGGCGGGATGGGACATCGACCTGCTGTGTGACAGTCGCCAACCCCCGATTTCCCGCAGAATCCCCCCCAAACTTCGCCAGCTCTTCGCTCTGGCACTTCTGACACCCCTCCTCCATATCGCACACAGGCCAACCAGCCTCGCAGGCTGGCGTCTGTTACTCTTTGTCCCTCGCCTAACCCTTCGCCTGCATTCGCCCAAGCACCCAGATTGGGCCACAGTGGAAAAACGACTGCAGCAGTTCCTCGCGGGCGAATGGCATTTGCTGTACCTGTCAGCAATCGACGCTGTGCATAACCCCCCCGCACCTCGCCACGCGGCAGACTCCTTCGGCAGGCAAAAGCGAGCAGAGGGGCTTGTCCGCCGTGGCAGTCTCCGACGTGCCCTGCTGGCACTGGACTCGACCCCGGTCAGCGATTCAACCCCCGACGTCCTCGAGGAGTTGAAGTCCAAGCACCCCGCCCCGTTGACTGAGTCAATCGCCTGGCCCATCCTTGACGAGTCCGAGGCGGGTCCCTCGTTTTCGCAGGATGCGTTCATTCGCCTGCTGAGTCGCTGCGAAAACGGAGTGGGCGCAGGGCCCTCAGGAATGTGCTTCGAGCACATTCGCGAAGCTGCCCTCGCTAACAACTCAGCCGCTGGCAAACTGCATGAGCTTGCATTACTTTTGCTCAAAGGGGATTCCACCGCCGAAATCGCCGCCCTACTCACCGCCAGCCGCCTCATAGCATTTCCCAAGCCCGGAGGCGGCACGCGACCCATCGCCATAGGCGAATGCCTGCACCGCCTCGTGGCGAAGGCGGGCCTTCTCACCATGACTGAACAAGCACGGTCTCACTTCCTTCCGCTGCAGTTCGGGGTAGCAGTTCGAGCGGGCGGCGAGGCAATCATCCACGGTGCTCGAGCATACACGGCCGAATTTCCTGCCGCCCTCGTACTCCAGGTCGACCTGTCGAATGCTTTCAACAGCGTCGACCGGGCTGCGATAGTGGCAGGCCTCTTCAACTCGCCCCTACGACCGATCCTCCCCTTCGTCCAGCTCTCCTACGGAGCCCCGTCGCGCCTCTACCTCGACGCAGGCTTCTGCAGTGGGCCACTCCTCAGCGCCCGGGGTGTGCGACAGGGGGACCCCATGGGTCCCCTGCTCTTCGCGGCGGCCATGCATCCGGCCCTCCAAGCGACGGCCTCGGCGTTCCCTAACGTCCTCTGCCTCGCATACGCCGATGACATTACGCTGCTCGGAGATCCGTCGGCGTGCGCGGCGGCCTTCACACACCTTACGGATGCCCTGCGCCCCTTGGGCCTCACGCACAACCCCTCCAAGTGCGCGGCGTGGTCAGCCTCCCAGCCCCCCAGCTCCATCCTCCCCCCGGGCATCCCCTTCAGCGCTGACGGCCTGCGCGTCCTCGGGAGCCATATCGGCCCCACTGAAGGGACGGCCGCCTTCCTTCGGGAACAGCTGGCCGACATGGCCAGACCGCTGCCCGCCCTGGCGTCCATGGACCCCCAAGCCGCCGGCCTCCTCCTCCACCGCTGTGTCTCGCGGCGAGTGTCCTACCTCACCCGCACCACCCCTCTATCCTCGCTGCCCACCGATGAATGGTCCCGGTGGGGCCAGGAGCTCTTCCACACCCTACTCCGCTCATGTAACCTCCAGCTCCCACGGGGGGAGCAAGAACTGTCGCGCACGTGGCAACAGGCCTCTCTGCCCCCCTCTCTTGGCGGCCTGGGCCTCACGGACCCCGCAGTAGAGGGTCCGCACGCCTTCCTCACTAGCGTTACACAGGCCCAACGGCTGCTGATATCCCTCCCATCGGACCCGACAGGTCCACTCGCTGCCGCGGCATGCTCCCTGGCCCCCCCTTTCAGCAGCCCGACACCCCTCCACACCTGGCTGACGGAGTGCGAGAAGGCCCTCCCAGCCCCAGCCCTGGCGCTCCTGCAGGCCGAGCGGGCCGAACCTTCAGACGATCCCCTCCAGCACCGACTGGCCCTAGAGGTACACGCAGCCCGCTTCGCCCACCAGTTGGCTGCGTCAAGGGAGATGGAACTCAACCCCCTCAGCGGCCACACCCAGAGGCTCCTCTCCCTCACTGGGTACGGCGCTGGCGATTGGCTCCTCGCCATCCCCCTATTCCCCTCACTTCGGTTGGCGCCCCCACACTACGCCATCGCCCTGGCGTTCCGCATGGGCCTCCCTTTCCCGGCACCCAGGGTCTGCAACTGCGCCCAAGGGGTGGTGATCGAGGACCCTCGACTACCAAACCACCTCTTCCGCTGTGGGACAGGGCATGGCCGCACCGACACCCACAACGCCCTCCGGGACGAGTGCATACGCATGGGGCGGGACGCGCAGCTCATAGTCACGAAGGAAACAGCGATCTACAACCCGGTCGATGGCAAGACCGCCGACCTGGCCGTGCGTGACCGGGACTCGGGGGCGGTCTGGATCTGCGACGTCACCGTCACCGACCCAGTAAGCTCTCGGGACCCGCTAGCGCGCAAGGGCCGAGGATACATGGCCCGGGAGCAAGCGGACAAGAAGATCGACGACTACCGCCACAGGGCAGCATACGTCGGTTTCTTCCCGCTCGCGGTCGAGACGTACGGCTGCCCATGCGCCGAAGTGCCAACCTTCCTTAAACTTCTAGCACACACGGCCGCCCGCCGCCTTTTCAACGCCGACCCCAGCTCCTACCAGGCGGCTAAACTGCTTAGCCAGTTCCGCCAGCGCTGGTCTGTCACTCTCCAGCGGGGACAAGCCCTCACCTATCTTGGGAAGGTGAACGACGCCTCACCACTCGAATGGCCTCCCCTCGGCGCTCCTGACGCGGGCATGTCCCTAGGGGATTGCTTCGCTGTCATCGAGCACCTGAGGGAGGCGTGGTAGACTAGGAGTTCGGCCAAAATACCATGCATGATTGTACTCACCTTATATGCCTCGCATGTACCCAGGGTAATCCGAGCAATGAAGGACCGTTCGAGAGAGAGAGAGAGAAAGAGGGAGCATGAGTCCCTCCCTAGCTATTTAAGCTCTCTCCCTAGCTCATTCTTCCTGTTTAGTTTTCAGTTCTCTCTTCTTCTCCTTCCCTTGGTGGCGGCTCGCCTCGGCGGCCTTCGGCCGCCGCCGCTCGCAGCGCTGCCTGCGGCCGCGCGTTAGGGGACGGCAAGGACTCTCCATTCAGCAGGCAACACAAACAAGCAATGACAACCTCTGCCACACACACACTCTAGAGTCTACCTATCCTAGAGGCATGGAGAGCCTCATCCGCCGAGCTGAGAGGCTCTCGCTGGTGGGCACGTCGCCCACGCTCACGTATGCGCGGAGGGCGCCCGTCACGCGACCTGGTCAGCCCCAGCCTCCTCGAGAAGGGCCGCCACATAGCCCACCAGGAGCTGGAGCGCTGACACGGCGCCGCCAACAATGTCTACAGCTGCGGCCGAGTCTATGCTCGCCGACACGGCCCGCATCACGACGAGCAGGCGGGGGTCCAACACGGTTCCCGGGGCGGGCACAGGCTGCACTCGCGTCGACACGACAGCGAGATCAGCTGCTGCCATCGCACAGCGATGCAGGGGGTCGTGAGGCATCCTGCACGGGCTCGCTAAGCTCCGTAGCACGGAGTGTGAGTCCGCCAGCATCTCCACGGCGATCCCCATCGCCTGCCGCGCGTGCCACAGCCGACGAAGCGTGGCGACTGGGACCGCCGTCTCCGCGGGCCGCCCCCGCCCTCGCAGCCGCTCCATCAGCAACCTCGGCGGCATCCGCAAGCCGCCCGTGCGACGCTGCTCCGACTCCTGGCGGGGAGAGCCCTCACCCGGGGAATCCGCCCCCCCCATCTCCGCTGACTCTGCCCCCCCCTCAACTCCAGTCGGCGACGCCAGAGCCCGCCGGGGGGGAACAAACGGCCCAACCGCCCGTGTGTCAAAGGACATCGGGGCCAACGGCGGTTGCTGAAGCGGGCCACCATGCCAGCCGATCGCCGAGGTCTCCGGCGGCGACGGCCGCCAGCTTGGCAGCGTCCCCGCCGTCGGAGCTGCCGTCAGCGCAACCAGCGGACGCGACGGGCGGTGAGGGCAGGATAGCGGCGGGGGCTGGTACTGGGGGACAAGGAGGTGAGGCGGCTGAGGGTGCTGCACCGGGGGCGGGGGCTGCTGCGCTGCGGACACGGGGGGAGGAAGGGACTGAGCCGTCATCTGCGGGGGGACGAACGCCGACGGGTTCGCGTGCACGGGCGGAATTGGCTGCGGAACGCTCGCGGGCGCCAGTTGAGGCGGAGCAACCGAACGGAGGAAACTCTCCAACGTTGCGGCGGCGCGGCCCAGCCGCCTCTCTGCGGCCGTCCCACGACTGCTCCCGCCGCCAGACCTCCACCCGCGGCGCTGCCCGGACTGCCCACGCTGCCTCTGAGGCGTCCGGTGCTGCTGAGGGGGCAGTGCCTGAGCGGCACGCTGGGGCGCCCCTCGGCGCGACAAGGCCGGCTGCGGCGGCTGCTGCTGCAGCTGCGGTGCTGAACCATGCTGGCCACTACCCGCACGCTCAGGGGACTTCCGCTCTCGCCGCTGAGGGGTTGAGTGGCGGCTTCCCGACCGCCCAGGCATGCGCTCCGGGGACTGCTGACGGCTCGCCGGCGGGGCGGCGACACCGCGCTCCCAGTCGTGGTCCGACTGCAGCGGATGGCTCGGCCGACCTCGGCGGGGGACGCTCTCCCCCGTACTCTCCAAATCGCACGACCGCTCGCGGCGGGGACGCTCCTCTCTCCCCGCTTCCGGGGGGGGTTCATCGCGGGCTCAACGGCCTCCTATGGCCTCGCCCGCACGACGGACCGGAAGGCGCGTGTCGTGCGGAGAGACGGAGGGACGCGGCGAAAGCAGGGACGGCAGCCCCGGGGTCCGGGGAGGCCGGAGGCGCGGACGAGGTCGAGGCCGGGCGGGAGCCTTAGCACGGGATGGCGGCCCGATGAACGGATTCCAACTAGCTGTGAACAGGGCTTCAAGGGGAAGGGGGCTCAGAGAAAGAACTGACGAAGATGAGAGGAGAGACAGCACCTATATACCGGAGGTGCTCCACGAATCATCCACAGAGGAGTCCACTGATACACTGGAAGAACGGGCACCACCTCGTCGACGAGGCGGGAATACATCCCCATCTCCCAGATCTCGCGGACGAGGACCTGCTGGCACCCAGACTGCTCAGGCACTGCAGGACTCTCCCGCTCAACCGGCCCGGGGGACCACGCGAAACGACCCCAGCTCTGGGGCGGGAAACCGGCGCGCTGCGCGTAACACCCGTGCCACTGATACGCAGTCAACCCAGACACAGCGGCATTTTTCACCAGAGGAGCTGGCGTCCAACGAAACTCTGTTCGCCGGGGTGGCAGGATGGGACATCGACCTGCTTTGCGACAGTCGCCAACCCCCGATTTCCCTCAGGATCCCCCCCAAACTTCGCCAGCTCTTCGCCCTGGCCCTCCTGACACCCCTCCTTCATATCGCACAACAGCCAACCAGCGCTGCTGGTTGGCGCCTGTTACTCTTCGTACCACGACTCACCCTTCGCCTGAATTCGCCCAGGCGCCCTGATTGGGCCGCGGTGGAGAAACGCCTGCAACAATTCCTGGCTGGCGAATGGCACCAGCTGTACCTGGCAGCAATCGACGCCGTGAACACCCCCCCCCCGCCCCGCCACGTCGCAGACTCCCTCGGCAAAATATCCAGGGCGGAAGGGCTGGTCCGTCGTGGCAGCCTCAGGCGTGCATTGCTCGCGCTGGATTCGACGCCAGTCAGCGAGTCAACCCCCGAGGTCTTAGACGAGCTGAAGTCAAAACACCCCGCACCGTTGACCGAGTCATTCGCCTGGCCAGTCATTGATGAGTCAGAAGCGCGCCCAACAATCTCGCTACCTGCGTTCATCCGGTTACTCAGCCGCTGCGAAAATGGGGTAGGAGCGGGGCCCTCAGGAATGTGTTTCGAACACATTCGCGAAGCCGCCCTCGCCAACGGATCCGTCGCCAGTAAGCTGCACCATGTGGCGCTATGCTTGCTGAAAGGAGACGCAACGGCTGAAATTGCAGCGCTCCTCACTGCCAGCCGTCTACTCGCGTTTCCCAAGCCCGGGGGAGGCACGCGACCAATCGCCATAGGGGAGTGCCTCCATCGCCTGGTGGCGAAGGTGGGCCTCACCACGATGACGGACCATGCCCGAGCTCACTTCCTACCGCTGCAGTTCGGGGTAGCGGTACGAGCGGGCGGCGAGGCGATCATCCACGGGGCAAGGGCGTTCGTTGCAGAATTCCCCTCCGCCCTCTTACTCCAGGTTGATCTCTCCAACGCCTTCAACAGCGCCGAAAGGGCAGCAATCGTGGCCGGCCTATACAACTCGCCCCTCCGACCGCTGCTCCCCTTCGTCCAACTCTCCTACGGCGCCCCGTCCCACCTCTACCTCGACGCGGGCTTCAACAGCGGGCCGCTCCTTAGCGCCCGGGGAGTACGGCAAGGAGACCCAATGGGGCCCCTGCTCTTCGCGGCGGCCCTGCACCCAGCACTCCAGGCGACGGCCGCAGCGTTCCCCAGCGTCCTCTGTCTGGCATACGCCGACGACATCACACTCTTGGGGGAACCCTCTGCGTGCGCAGCGGCGTTCACGCACCTCACGGAAGCCCTGCGCCCCCTGGGCCTAACGCACAACCCCTCCAAATGCGCGGCCTGGTCCTCCTCCCAGCCCCCCGCCTCCCTCCTCCCCCCCGGCATCCCCTTCCACGCCAATGGCCTGCGCGTCCTCGGGAGCCATGTCGGCCCACCCGAGGCCACAACTGCCTTCCTCCGAGAGCAGCTGGCCGTCATGGCCGGCCCGCTCCCCAACCTGGCTACCATGGACCCCCAATCCGCCGCCCTCCTCCTCCACCGCTGTGTCTCGCGGCGGGTATCCTATCTCACACGCACCACCCCACTCAACCTGTTGCCCGCAGAGGAATGGTCCCGGTGGGGCCAAGAGCTCTTCCACACCCTCCTCCGCGCGTGCAAGCTCCAGCCCCCCAGGGGGGAACGAGAATCGTCGCGCACATGGCAGCAAGCATCTCTGCCCCCCTCGCTCGGCGGCTTGGGTCTCACGGACCCCACCGTGGAAGGACCCCATGCCTTCCTCACCAGCGTCACCCAGGCCCACCAGCTCCTGGTCTCCCTGCCCTCGGACCCGACAGGCCCACTCGCAGCCGCCGCCTGCTTCCTGGCTCCCCCCTTCAATGGCCCTACCCCTCTACATACCTGGCTGGCGGAGTGCGAGGCGGCCCTCCCAGCCTCAGCTTTGAAGCTCCTCCAAGCCGAACGGGCTGAGCCCACAGACGACCCGCTCCAGCACCGCCTAGCCCTGGAGGTACACGCCGCCCGCTTCGCCAACCAGCTGACCGCGTCAAGGGAGATGGCCCCTAATCCCCTCAGCGGCCAAACACAGAGACTTCTCTCCCTCACCGGGTACGGCGCCGGCGACTGGCTCCTCGCCATCCCCCTCTTCCCCTCGCTCCGCCTGGCACCCCCACATTTTGCCATAGCCCTGGCCTTCCGTATGGGCCTCCCCTTCCCCGCACCCAGAGTCTGCAACTGCGCCAAGAGGGTAGTAATCGAGGATCCACGCCTCCCAAACCACCTCTTCCGCTGCGGGACAGGGCACGGCCGAACCGACACCCACAACGCCCTCCGCGACGAATGCATTCGCATGGGCCGGGACGCACAGCTCATAGTCACAAAGGAGACTGCGATCTACAACCCCGTTGACGGCAAAACCGCCGACCTCGCTGTACGAGACCGGGACTCGGGGGCGGTCTGGATCTGTGACGTCATCGTCACTGACCCAGTTAGCTCTCGAGACCCCCTGGCCCGGAAGGGTCGAGGTTACATGGCCCGCGAACAGGCTGACAAAAAGATCCACGACTACCGCCACAGGGCAGCGTATGCCGGCTTCTTCCCGCTGGCGGTCGAGTCCTACGGCTGCCCTTGCGCCGAGGTGCCAACCTTCCTCAAACTCCTGGCGCACACGGCCGCCCGCCGCCTCTTCAACGCCGACCCCAGCTCCTACCAAGCGGCAAAACTGCTTAGTCAGTTCCGCCAGCGGTGGTCCGTCACCCTCCAGCGGGGCCAAGCCCTCACCTACCTCGGGAAGGTGAATGAGGCTTCGCCACTCGAGTGGCCGACCCTTGGGTGCTCCTGAGGCGGGCATGTCCCTTGGGGACTGCTTCGCGGTCATTGAGCACCCCAGGGAATAGCCGGGGACTAGGAGCAAGACCAGGAATACCATGCATGCTTGTACCTACCTGCCTGTACCCAGGATCTCCCAGCAATGAAGGACCATTCGAGAGAAAGAGGGAAGTGGGTTAAGGAGGTATGCACAAAAATGGCATGGCAGATGGTGCAGGATATGTCTACACATCAAGAGCTGACACAAATGTGCAACACTTCACATGACAGGACAGGACATGACAGGACATGGCAGGACATGACAGGACATGACAGGACATGGCAGGACATGACAGGACATGACAGGACATGGCAGGACATGGCAGGACAGGACATGACAGGACATGACAGGACATGGCAGGACATGACAGGACATGACAGGACATGGCAGGACATGACAGGACATGACAGGACATGGCAGGACATGACAGGACATGGCAGGACATGACAGGACATGACAGGACATGACAGGACATGACAGGACATGGCAGGACATGGCAGGACAGGACATGACAGGACATGACAGGACATGAGAGGACATGAGAGGACATGGCAGGACATGGCAGGACATGACACGACACCACATGGCATCACATACCTTATACCACGATGTGACATAATGTGATATGATGTGAGAGCGAGGGAGCGTCTCCATAATGCGATGGAGCTTACCTGAATGGGACACCGGCAGCTCCATCTGCTTGTCTTCCTCCTCCTCTTGCGTACAATCTCCTCCCCAATCAATCTCCTGCTCGCTTCTCCTGCCCTCCCAGTCCCTCTCCCCCCATGCTCTCCCCTCCTCCGCTCCAGCAGCAGAGTCTTGCTCCACATGCCTCGCTCCTCCCCCGTTCTGCAGTCCCTCTCTTCCCTCCATCACACCTGCTACACCTGATCTTCTCCCTCCTTCCTCCTCCGCGCCTACAGGACCTGGGAATGCAAACACCCTCACTGCTGCTGCTCCTCTTCCTCCTCTTCCTCCTGCTCCTGCTGCTGCTGCTGCTGCCGCCGCTCCTCCCCTTCCTCCTCCTGCTTCTGCTGTCACTGCTGCTGCTGTCACCTGTGCTCTCGCAGCTGGTGTCTGTCCCTTGGCTATGGCAGCAGGCACTGCCAGCGTTGGCCTATTGGGCTCGTCTATGGCATGCAACAGACCGTCCAGGAAGTCATCCTCGTCGCCCTCACCCGCCTCCTCGTCCCCTCCGCCTTCCTTGCCTGCACCATCCTCTCTTTCCCACTCTGCATCATCCTCCTCACATGCCTCCTCCTCATCATCATCTATCACTATCACATCCTTCTCCTCCCTCTTCCCTCCACCCACTCCTGCTTGCCCCTCTCGCCTCCTGGACAAACCAGGGCATGCTCCAGCCGCGTCGTATTCATCCTCCAAGCCTTCCAAGCCATCGCCACCCATCCCTCCCGCATCACCTCTCTGTGCTCGCTGCTCCTCCGGTTTGCGAGCGTGCACCTGTTTCACCTGTTGCCCCTGTAACGGTTGTTGCATCTGTCGCACCGCCGCTCCCTTTGCTGCCGTCTTCCTTCCTCGCATGGGAAAAGGAGAAAGAACACCACTGCCTTTCTTCCCATCCCCTCCCTCCTCCTGCCCTACCTGCCCTGCCTGCCCTGCGACCCTGTCCTGTCGACCTCCATGCTGCCGTCGCTCCTCAACTCCTACCCTGAAATTATCATGTGCAATTGCAGGAGCAGCACGGGCAGCGGGAGCAGCAGTAACACCACCATCTCTGTCGCTCCCTTTCGCAACAGTACCACTCTTGTCGCCTTCAAATTCCTGCACCCCTCTCTCTCCTCCCCTCTCCTCTCTTTCACCTTCCTTCTCCCCTCTACTCGCTCCTTCCGTCTCCCTTCCCCCCTCCTCTCCCTGCCTAGGCCCAGCTTGCGACCTCTTCCTATGTAGCCCTGGCACACCCCGCAATGCCCCAGTTACAATAACAGGGGGCGCAGGTACGCAGGGAGGGGGACGGCCCGATGCAGCAGCAGCAGCAGCAGCAGCAGCAGCCCCAGTACCAGAGCCAGGGGTAGAGGCAGGGGCAGGGGAGCGGGAGGAGCGAGGCGGGTTGGTGGTAGAGGGAGAGGAGTGGGACTTGAGCTGTGCTAGCTGAGCCTGACGCACACAAGGGACGGGACGGGACGGGACGGGAGAGGAGGGGGAGGAAGGGAGAGGAGAGGTGCTGGCATCGGTTTTGGGCATGACCAATCCAGAAATTTAGAACGAGGTGACTTTTGAGTCGACTCAAAAGTCACCTCGTTTTGGGGATGACCAATCCAGAAATTTATTCTCGGTAGTCCCAATGCTTTGATTGAAATGCTGTCTTCAGGAGGAACAACAATGCAAGAGCACCCGCAACGAGTTCACCGTACGGGAATCTCGGCAGCAAGAGAGCGGAGAGGCGCACAAGCCAGTCTGGGAACATCAATGGTCCGCGCTGCTTTGATCAGCTGCAATGAAGTGAACAAGTAGCAGTGCCCACACAGCACCTGCGATAAACTAGTCGTACCTGCAGCTGATTTTTGAGTCGACTCAAGAATCGCCTTCAGATAGACTAGTCGTACCTGCAGCTTAGCAACAAGGGCGGAGAGGCGTGCGTTGGTGGAGGCTTGAAGGGAGTGGTGCGAGGTGCGGTGAGAGAACTTGGAGAGAAGGTCCTTGTATTGCCTGGGGGGAGGGGAGAGGGAGGGAGAGACGGGGCAGAGAAGGGAGTGAGAAAGAACAGTGGAAGTGAGTGGCAGAGGCCGGAGGGAGAGAGGGGGCAGGGAAATGAAAGGGGCGTGATGAGAAGGGAGGATGGCTGAGGGGATAAGGATGGGGATGGGGATGGGGATGGGGATAGGGACGGCACAGGGACACGAACGGTGTGAGCGGAGAGGCAGAAATACCTGACACATGCAGGAACCATGAGAGGCAGGAAGCAGGGCAGTTGCAGCGAATGAGAGGGGCGAGTGAAGGACGACGCAAGAGGAGACAGCACATGTCGCAGGGCCATGACTGTGATTCACCATTCAACCACAAAATCCGGCCAAATCAATCCACATCAGGCCAAAACAGGCCCAATCAGGCCAACATGCAGCGTATTTGTATTTGTTCCTCTCATTGGAGGTGGGCTGAAGCACCATGTCTTCAGACATAACTCTTAGAGAGCAGCAGACTCTAGTGGGGCCAAAAAAAACCAGGCCGTACTTGTTTCTCTCCATGAGCGTGTGTTGAAGCACGCAAATCACACCCGCATCGCTGCTGCTGCCGCCACCGCCATCGTCACCCCCATCGTCCAGCGTCCACCCCTTCGCCTGCCTGCCCCTGCCACCACTGCCTCCTATGCCAGTGCCAGCACGGCTAGTGGCAGTGGTGGTGGTGGCGTTGGTGGTGGCAGCAGCAGGGGCGGCGGCAGCTGCGCCTGATGCGCCTGCTGCCATGCGGGCCATCTTGAGGAGGCCGTCCTTGTTCAGGTCCACCTGCTGCATGCTGTCATGGGTGAGAGGGGGAGAGAGCAAGAGAGAAAGTAAGAGTTTGTGATAAGAGTCTAGTTTTGAGGTGTCTCAAAGCGGGCCGTCTTGAAGAGACCGTTCTTGTTGAGGTCCACCTGTTGCATGCTGTGATAGTTGAGTGAGAGAGTGTATGTGTGGGAGTGGGTGTGCGTGTGGGTGTGGGTGTGTGCATGTGTTATACGCACACGTGCGAGCGTGCATGCACATGTGTGAGCAAGTGCGATGGGATCAACAAGAGACGCGATGCACATGAGAAGGGAAGAGGCACGGATGCATGCACACCACACCACACCACACCACACCTGGGCAAAGCTGACATAGGGCTGTGAAGAGACATGCACACACAGCATAAAGCACTGACTGTCATCGACACGATACGACACGACACGATACGACACGACACGATACGACACGACACGACACGACACGACGCGATACGACACGACACGATACGACACGACACGACACGACACGACACGACACGACACATCATTGCATGGCACGGACGGAATACGATTGCAAAACATGCCAGAAGATTGCACGGTGGCGTGGCGCGACAGGGCAGGGAAGGAAGCAAAGGGGGCGAGCTAGTGGGTACGGACAGAGCCATGGCTGCGTCGCTGCACTGTGCTTGCTGCAGCTGCGTGTGCAGCGCCTTGCACTCCGAGGTCTTCGCATCCAGCTCCTGCCATGGCGCATGCAGGGCAGAGGAAGAGACGCCACAAAGAGAGAGAAGAGCAGAGAAGGGGACAGAGAGAGAGAGAGAGAGAGAGAGAGAGAGAGAGAGAGAGAGAGAGAGAGAGAGGGACGGCGGATAGAGGCAGAGCGAGCTCGAGTGAACAGCTCTCAGTACATGTACACAACAGACAAAGGCAGAGCAAGAGAACTTGACGAAACAAGTCACCACAGATGTCCAAAATCCTGAAGTACTCCCTCGATCTCACCTCACACGTCTGCCCTATTCCAGTCCCCCTTCACCTTCCTTCCCCTTCCATTCCCTTTCCTCCTGCCTTCCATGTCCTAAACCCTGCCTCTCCTTCGCCCATACTGCTCCTCACGTTACAGACTCCCACGTTCTAACGTGCATCCCCGTTCCCCTACCACAACCCCCACCGTTCCTTCCACCCACTGCCGACCTCTCTCCCCTGCCCCCTTCCCCCACCCTCTTCTTCCCCCTCACCCATCCTCCTTTCCCCCATCCACTTCCCCCTTTTCCGCCATCCCCCTCCCACTCTCCCCACCCCCCATCGCCCATCCGCCTTTCCCTTTCCCCGTTACCCATGGCCCTACCCCGCTGAGCACGTGTGTCGCCATCACCAGCTGCTCCTTCTCTCTCGCATGCGCCTTCCGCGTCCCTTTATGTCCTCTCGCCTGCCCCGCTCACCAACACCCTTTCTCCCCTCTACCCCTTCCCCCTCACTCCCCCCCCTCCACTCCTCCCCTCTCACCCCCCATACCCCTCGCCCTATCCCTCGCCGTACCCCTCTGAGCACGTGCGTGGCCATCACCAGCTGCTCCTTCTCCCTCGCATGCGCCTTCCTTGCTCGCTCCACTGCCGCCCGTGCCTCGTCCCTTTCCCGCTCCGCATCCCCCGCGCGCTGCTTGCTGCGCTCCGCCTGCTCGAAGTTGTGGGCGTGGGTGGGCGTCGGGCGTGGGTGTGGTGTGGGCGGGGGGAAGAAAGGTTGGAAATGAAGGGGGGCGATGGAGGGATGGAAAGCCCTCCTGCTCTTACTCCCCACCGCCCACTGCTTGCTGTGCTCCGCCTGCTCCTCAAGGGTGCGGAGATGGGCGCATGGAGAGGAAATGTCGGAAAAGGGGGGGGCGGGGGGGGGTTGGAGGGATGGGAAGAGAACGAGGTTGTGAACGGCAAGGGGTGAAAGAAAAGTTGTAGGAATGTGGAGAGGGGGGGGGGGGGGGGGGAGAAGGTGGTTGTTCGGTGGAGAGTTGGGGATCAAAAGGTGGTAATCTCAAGTGCCATCATGATTTCTCAAGCTACTCTCCAACCACCAAGCTCACTCACCCATCACACAACCAGTACTTCACCCAACCCATACGCCACCCCCACCCAGCGTGCAACCCCCACCCAACGTGCACCCCCCCCAGCGCGCACCCCCCAGCGCGCTTCCCCCCAGCATACACCCACCTCGGCCTTGAGCTGCGCGAGCGCCACCTGCTCTGCTCGCAGCGATGCCTTCAGCGCCGCCACCTGCGACTCCGCATGCTGGGCGCGCCGCTGGCGCGGGGGGGAGGGGTTGGGGGAGTCAGGTGAACGGGGTGGGGGGGAAGAGGGGCGGGGCGGGGGTGTTGGGGGGTGAGGGGTGCGGGGGGAGGGAAACGGGGAGTCAGGGACACAGGGAAGACGGGGGGAAAGGGGAGAGTCAAGGAGCGGTGGAGAGAGGGGAAGCAAAGAAAGAAAGCAAGGTACACCGAGAGTCCCGGGCCTTGAATAATGAGCCGATCTCACGTGATCAACCACTTGCAGCGCTCGCACTAGGCGCTAGCACTTGCGGTGATGGGATTGAACCCCTTTCTTTAAAATTCACATAAATGTATGGTGATGTGGGAGGAAGGACTAGACAGTGTGAGGGGGGAGAGGTGGGGCGGGAGGGGGGGGGGGGGGGGGGGGGGGGTTTGGGGGTGGGGTAGGGGAAATGTGGCACGATGGGGCGAGAGACAGTAACTGCTGGCACAATAATGCGGAGTTGCTTGCAGGATGTGGGAAAAGTCAGAACGAAAAGATTTACACCGGGAAAGGTTGAGGGAGACATGTGCGGGCATGGAGGGCGTGTGGAGGTTGTAAGCTGCTAGCATCTTCCCTTTTACTCTCTCCCCTCTCCCTCCCACCAATCCTTTTCTCTCCCTGCTCAAAACTTATCCTTACTCTACCTTGTCGTTCGAAATTCCCTGACCTCTTTCAACCTCCCCCTCTCCTTCCCCTTACCCTCTCCGTTTCCTTACCCTTCCCCTCTCCCCGCACCTGCGCCCAGCACTAACCTTCAGCGCCGCGGTCGCAGCTGCGCTCTCACCCCCCCAGTCACCTCGTGCGCCCTCCCCCGCGCCACTCACACCCCCCTCCTCCCCAAACTTTCTCCGTTTCGCTGCGCGGCAGCCGTCCGCTCCCGCGCCGTTTGCGCCATCCGCGCCGTCCCCCCGCTCCGCTTCCGCATCCCCGCTGGAGAGGTCGGAGAGGAACACGTGGAGAACACGCTTCGAGCACGCGCTGCGGCAGAAGGGGCAGCTCCCGCGGGCCTTGCCCTCAAGCCACTGCAGCAGGCTGGCGAAAGGAGAGCGCGGAATGTTGGGAATTTCAGGGGTGCAGGGGAGAAATGGCATAGGATTAAGACGGAACGGGGAGTGGGGGATGGAGCGGAAAGAGAGTGTGTGGACGACTGCTGCGCAAATATGGCGGAATCGTTAGCGCTGATTGCACTACAGCGGCGGGCGTGGGCTGAACAGAGAGGAGCGGCGGCGGGGAGTCTGGACGAGAATGAGAAAGAGGAGGGAAGAAAGAAACGTGTGGGACGGAAAGAGACGGAAATTGCACGCGGTAGCTGCAGCAGGGTGACAGTCGCGGGTGTAGTGCATCCCAAAAACGAGGGGGGCTGAAGAAGGCTGGGAGAGCGGAGGCAGTGTGCGGAATAGAGGATCCGAGGTGCGGAGCATTCTCCGCATGGAGCAGGCGGATGGATGAAGGAGGAAGTAGAGAGAAAGGCAGGCGCGGAACGAAGGGGATGGGGACAAAGCAGCACCGACCAATGGGTGTGGAACACGTGGCCGCATTCCACGACGACTTGCAGCGAGTCCTCCGCGACGAACTCCTCGTAGCAGATGGAGCAGCCCGGAGCCATGATGCCGTCTGGTAACTTACTAGCTATCACCACACGGCGTCGTACAGCACGCAATGAAGTTGGGCCATTCCTGGCGTCGCAGCGCGGCGGACGTGAAACCTACAACAGGCGTTTCTAGCGATCAAGGGCTTCGCAGAGAACTCCTGGCGGAATTTCTGGCAAAACCGGTTGTTCGGCTCGTGATTTGCTTCGCCTCGTCCAGGGAATGGTCACTCTAGTAGCTAGTTGTTGAGGCGTCAGGCATTCTCTTGAACGTCCACAGATACAAGAGGGCGAGCGTGGTCTGTCCGACTGCCAACCTCGTGATGGTGTACAACTCTCGCAGTTCAAATGTTCAAACATCTCCAGTAAAAGGCAGCTCATTTCTCACAACAGTCTCGTGTCGTAAATTGTAATATACTATGAGCAAACGTGATCAACGGTACAGACAGACATTAAAATTTTCTTCATAGCATAAATATTTTGGAGAAACACATTATTATTGCAGGCCCATATGAAATTCAATTCTATTTTCGGTGTTCTCATACATAAAGCACACGTACATATTTGTGTTACACGGAGGTTTGAGAATGCAGGCAGCTATGCAACATCCGCACATAGGCAGCTGGTTGTGAAACCTGGCAAGCCGCGCTTCCACAGTTGCCTTGCAGCAGCACCGCCCCAGAAGGGCAAATGGCGGTGCGTGTGCGCACTGCGCATGTTGCACCAAGTGAGGCAGCGCACTGCGGAACCATTGCCAAGTCAACGAGGCCTACAACTGCTCAATTGCTGTGGAGCTCGCCCCGCCTCGCCGGTTCCACATGCATGGGAACCGCGCCTCGATTTTGCTCCCCCATTCGTGTGCATGTGTTGGCATATTTGTGGGGGTGGGACTTATTGGACCTGAAACTTTGGGCTAAACTTCTATAAAAATGATGTCCCCATGATTTGAGCGCGATCTTTCATCATGCTTGGTGACGAATGGGAAAACCCTGGAAAATCACAGCCAGAATATGCAGTCGTTGGTTTGCAAGTGTCCATATATTTCGGGACATCCTAGAAACCTTACGATAAATTCTTCAACACTGCTGCCCCTGCCACTGCCCTTCCAGCAGAAAGGCCAGACAGGCGTTCAGTACAGACTGTAAAGGCTGCCGAAAAGACGAGAGCCTTCTCCTGCTAGAGGCGACTCCACCATACCATTCATCGGCAAGTAAACAGATTGTGCTTTCGAGAGACGCCTATGCTTTGCCTCTTAGTTTCTGGGCTGCTATGGATGCCCCGTTACACTCTTGGAATATCCACTCATCGAGTTCCTTGGTCGATGCACGGACGCGCACCTGCAATTTCCCTGTCCCGACTTGTTCCCCCGTTTTTCCTCCATTGCACCCTGCGCCTTGCCGGCTCGTCCCATCGCGGACGGAGCGTGTACCAATAAGCAACATGGAATGGAATGGGCGAGAATCACGAGGCGCAAGCGTCGCAGACTCGGCAGACTCCTTAGCAGAATGGGTCGCGCGTTCGTGCATTGCAGATGACTGCGACGATGAACTCCAGCCGTTGGATCTTGACATGCCGGACCGCCGCTCCCGATGCCCCGGATTCCCCTACGCCATAGGCCTCGACCGCCCTCCCTCCCCGTTCCTGCGCGATTTGCCGTCGCTTCGCGGCATTCATTCGGACGCGGCGGCGCGCGACGCGGATGAGAGCAGCAGCAGCGGCAGCGGCGGCAGCAGCAGTAGCGGCAGCGAGTGCAGCAGCGGAAGCTCGTCGCGTTCCTCGTCGCCTCCAACGTACGGCGCTCGACAGTGTCCAACGGGCGGCACCTCAGCGTGTTCCCCGGGGACCGCGTGGTCCGAGGAACGGCCTTCTCTAGTGATAGTATCCTCCCCTTCTCCAGCGGCGGAGCGTGCTTCCATTCTAGGTGCTCCCTCTTTCCACGACGCACACCATATGCGACGAGACGTGGAAGCGTGGGAGTTGCCGTCCACCGCTGCCGGCAAGATTCCGCCGCTGTCGCCGCATCAACACTGTTGGCAACAACACCTGCCGCAGCCAAAGCCGCCGCCGCCGCTGTCGCCGCGGCACGTCCATCAAGGACCAGTCGTCCTGCGACGCGGCTACCACGTGATGGCTCCTCCTCCTCCAGCGGTGGCGGCGAGTCTGATGTCCCCGCCGCCTCCGCGCCCGTGTTTTCCGCCCGCGCCGGGGCCAGTGGCCGCCGCGCAGCGGGTCAACATGCTGCAGCCGCCGCCGCTGTTCCCTCATGCTAGCCCGACGATACTAGTGCCGGAAATTCCGCCGCCGGCTACGAACGCACCAGCGCCGCGGCAACACGTGCCACGGTACTACCCACATCCTGCGCCGCCGTATGGCAATTCGCCACGTGGCCATCCAGGGCCCTTCCCGATGGCTGGCCACGTCGGCAATTTCCACGCAGGCGCGGGGTTCCTGCCGTCGCCGCCCGGACAGGCGTGCCTTGCGGCGCCTTGTGCTGCACCGCGAGGGCTTCCCAGCTCCCCGCCCGCTGCTTCTCGCCCTGGACGGGGACTTGTGATGATAGGGCATCATGGTATGGGACACGAGGTGTTGCAGGGAGTGGCGTGTGGGACGGCGCAAGGGACGTCGCACGGGGCAGCGCAAGGGACTTCGACGGCGCAAGGGACAACGCAAGGGGCAGCGCACGGGGCAGCGCAAGGGGCGGCGCACGGGGCAGCGCAAGGGGCGGCGCACGGGACAGCGCAAGGGGCAGAACAAGGACCTCTGATGCACGGGATGGTGGCGCACGGGACGGGCGTGTTTCACCCTCGAGTGGCAGCAGCAGCACCGCAGCACTGCATGGCGGCAGCGGTGCGCTTCGTGATGCCGCAGCCTGCTAACCTGATCTGCGCGGCAGGGCAGAGCGGCGCGGCCATGTACCTGCCTGCGCGCCTGGTGCATCTGTTCGGCCTGCGCGCCGATGCACACAACAACGTGCTTGTCGGCCGCCCCACCCCGGCTGCTGCTGCTGCTGCTGCTGGCGGCGGCGGCGGTGGTGGCAGTGGCATTGCTGCCTGTTGTGATGCTTCTCAGGATGCCAGTGCTAGAAAGGAGGGGTGTGAGTGTGACGAGGCTGGCGCATTGAGTGGATCAGAGGGAGCGCGGGGACGCGTTGGGGAAGGAGGAAAGTGGAGGACTAGCAGTGGTGTGGCAGATGGTGCTCTCCCTGGAGAGTGGACATATTAACGATCAGAGGGGCCAGACCTGAGCCTGGTTCTGGAGAATAAACGCTTGGAATGGGACCATGTGTAAGCTGTGCTGGTTGCATGCCTGCTGTTGATGGAGGTGGATGAAAGACGTGTGGCCGGCCAGCTAGGTGTCCTTACTTAGACTTGCATTGCATAGGATGCCAATCAATTTAGTAGCATCTCGTGTAGATGCATGGTTGATTATTTCTGTGCATTAATAATGGCAGAGTGCAATGCAGTTTCCAAAACTTGGTTTGCCATTATCCAGAGTGTACTTGTGCCTTCACAATGCGAGTAGAAGACAAGTACCGGTGCCACCATACTACAGTGTAATGTGACATTCTACCAGCCCTGCAATGCAACCTTCAGGTACGTTTGAAATTCAGCCATGAAGGGGAGGGAGGGGAGGGAGGTTTGTGCAAGCCTGGCTCTTGACCAAGCTGGGGTAAAAGGCTGCTATATGAAACACCTGAGGGGAGCATGGGGTGGGTGGGCTACACTACACCACCTTGCATCCAACAGGCTGCAACTCAACTGATCACCTCAGCTGCAGGGCTGTGAGCATGCATGATGCACAGCAGGTAGGTGGTACTGGTAGTGCCATGCACTTGCCACCATGTCTAGCAGTCACGAACAACACTGCCACATTGAGGAAAGTCTGTGGTGGTAGGGGTCTGTGGGGCACAACCAAGACAAGTGGCTCCCAGCATGGCATCCCACGTCCCGGGAGCCCCAGAACCGCGCCATCCCTCACCATCCCTCGCCCACCGCCCATGAAACATGGCCCATGGCCCATGGCATGTGCCCCATCCCCACCATAGATGCGCACCGGCTTCAGTCCAGAGCCATCCAGCTGTCACGCTTTTCGAGCCGCTTCAGAGGTGTCTCCACTCCACACGCTGGACACCGCCCCGCCGCCGCCACGCCACGCCACGTCCATGCTGACGTACACGCGGGAGGATGACGATGCCACGTGGCGACCATGGATCGTTTTTATCAGCAGCGAGAGCAGAAGTCAAGGCGACCGCTAGCTGCGCGAAAGGCCATTAACGCGCTTATCGCGAACACCTCTCCCCACCAACGCCCGCATCCGCCGCATCCGCCGCCGCGGCTTTAGAGACGTCGGCGGCGGCGACGGCGCGCTCGTCGCGCGAGAAGCGGTGCACGACGAGGCCGAGCGGGCCCGGGAGCAGCACGTCCGCCAGCACCGAGTCCAGCTGGCGCTCCGCCGCGCGCACCATGGGCGCAACGATGCGCGCAACGATGGGCGCAGCGGTGGAAAGGACGAAGGGGAGGCACTTGCGCGCGGGGAAACGAGCCATCTGGCGGAAAAGACGGGAGGCTGGAAATGGGGATGAAGTTGAGTGGAATTCAACAGAACAAATACTGTAGGCGGATGGGACAATTGATTTCCAGAGATTTCGGTGCAGCATGTAACTTCTGTAACAGGCGCTTTCGCTACTGTCGAATCTTGCTCTCAGCAGGCGAGCTAGTGGGGGACGGCCAACCAACCACGTGGTCGAGTTTGCCAACGGCCACGTCACTGCGCAAGAGACTCTTCGCATCGATTTGTGTCGAGAAACTAATAACCAGGAAACCAGGTCAATTCCGGCTCGTCGACCTTCGCCATGCATGTCGCCTTTCCCTTCCCTGCAACTGGGTTTTTCTACCCCCCGGCCCTTCTTCCGTTTTCCACAGCTTCTCTACCATTACCCTGCTAAACGCGCCTCTCGCAAATGTAGTGGCACCATAACCCTGGCTCATTCGCAAGGCAATTCGAATCTGCCTTTCAGCCATCCGCGATCAGCCGGCCTGCTGTTCTAACAGTAGAGATTCGCGGGATCCTCTCGCCAAGAGGCTTCTTGATCGCAGTGAGGATTCGTGGTTCGCAGCTTCTCTTGGTTCTTCTTCTTGATAAGGCTCGGCGCGCGCTGGTCATCGGGCAGCCATCATCCATCGCGTGCGGCAATGGTCGCCGTCGCATGCTCCGTCCGGCCGCTGCCTTTCTTGGCCACTGCCGCCACCGCACGAACGCACCGCAGACCTGCCCTCCCCTCTACCCCGCACACTCCCAGCGCGCCATCCCTTGCGCGCTCTCCCCCTCCCCTCGCCGCATCCTCCTCCTACTCCCGCCGCACACACCTCCTCCCCTCTCTCCCCCCTCGTCCCTCCCCCTCCGCCTCTCGTTCTCTCCACCCCTCCGCCACCATGCACCCGAACGCGAATCACCCCGGGTACGCGCAGCGCATTCCGCCCGGGCGGGGGCAGGAGTCGGTGTGGGACTACCCGCGGCCGCCGCGCGTGGAGCGCGTGGGGAAGCGCGTGCAGGTGGAGGTGGGGGGCGTCGTGATCGCGGACAGCGAGAACGCGTGGCGCGTGCTGGAGACCAGCCACCCTCCCGTGTACTACATTCCGCAGGTCAGCACTCCCCCTCTGTGCCTCTCTCACGCTCTGTTCTTCCTCTCGCCTCTCTCTCTGTCTACCCCTCTCGTCGTCTAAATATAAGTATATTCTCCATCCCTCTCTAACCCCTCCTCTGCATACCTCTCACCGGCACTTCCTCCCTCCTCCCCGTCTCTTCCCGTCACAGGCGGATATTAAAATGCAGTACGTGCACCGTGAGGCAGCAGTCTTCGAGGCGCCTTAAAAATACTCTCTGTGCTCCGCCCCCTTTCCCTCCGCCCCCCTCCTCTCCCCCACGGGCGGACATTCAGATGCAGTAAGTGCAGTGCGAGGCAGCAGCTTTTGAGGCGCCTAAAACACAAGATACACTCTTGCTCGTTCCCGTCCCTCCTCCTCCCCCCTCCCCCCCCCCCCCCCGCCCCCCCCCCCCCCTTTCTGACAGGCGGACATTCAGATGCAGTACGTGCAGCGGGAGGCAGCAGCGTCGTCCTTCTGCGAGTGGAAGGGTGCTGCAACGTACTGGACCGTCACCGTTCCCCAGGTCACTCTCCCGCCCGCCTTCACCTGCCTCGCCCACACTGAGGCAGGCGCGTCTTCAAGCACGAGCACGAGCATAAGCACAAAGGCACTGAAATTACTGTCCTCTGCTTCCGGTTGTTCTTGCTGATGGCCTCTGCTTCTCATCCGTGCGCCCTTCACATGGTCATGATGAGCCCAAGTGTGCTTGTTGCATGCTCCTTGCACTGGCGCACCTCATGTGTCGTGCTCGCCACTACCTGAACTGTGCTCACACTGCCAACACTCATCCTGCCCCTCCCGCTCCGCTGGATCCCCACTCCGCCACCCTCACTCCTCCCCCCAGGCGTCCAAGCACCTGCCGCGCTGTGCGTGGAGCTACGAGCGCCCCACGCCCGCCTTCCAGCCCATAGCGTCTCACATTGCCTTCTACTGCGCGCCCATGGACGCCTGCCGCGTGGGCGGGGAGAAAGCCAAGCCCCAGCCGGGAGGCTTCTACGGCGGCTGGGTGACCAAGGGCATTGTGGGGCCTTTCAAAGGGGGGCCAGGGTCGTGGGGGTGGTGAGGTGACTTCTCGGTCCACTTCACCGACTCAGCCCTAGCCAGAAAGCGTTGTATGGCAGCTGTGTCAACTTATACATACTATCTCTGTAGAAGTTATAGGCTAGACTGAGGTATGCTTCTAGTGAGTACAACCAACTAGTATTTGTTCTAGGTTTCCACCTCTAGTCATTATTCGTTCTCACTTTGACATGGTATCACGCGTAGGTTAGCATCCCCCACCTACCGCTTCCGCCCGTACCCTAGCTAGGCCACGTCGCGCCTCCTAACCCCGTCGCGCCTCCTAGCCACGTCGCCCCCCCCCCCCCCCCTCCTGGGCCACGTCGCGCCACCCTAGCCCCGTCGCGCCACCCTAGCCCCGTCGCGCCCCTCCTGGGCCCCGTCGCGCCTCCTAGCCCCGTCGCGCCCCTCCTGGGCCCCGTCGCGCCACCCTCACCCCGTCGCGCCCGCTCGGCCCCGTCGCGCCCTGCCTGGCTCCGTCGCGCCCGCCTGGCCCCGTCGCGCCCTGCCTAGCCCCGTCGCGCCCTGCCTGGCCCCGTCGCGCCCGCTCGGCCCCGTCGCGCCCTGCCTGGCCCCGCCGCTTGGCCCCGTCGCGCCCTGCCTGGCTCCGTCGCGCCCGCCTGGCCCCGTCGCGCCCTGCCTAGCCCCGTCGCGCCCTGCCTGGCCCCGTCACGCTTGCCTGGCCCCGCCGCGCCTCCCTGGCCCTGCCGCGCCTGCCTGGCCCCGCCGCGCCTGCCTGGCTCCGTCGCGCCCTGCCTGGCCCCGTCGCGCCTGCCTGGCCCCGTCGCGCCTGCCTGGCCCCGCCGCACCTGCCTGGCCCTGCCGCGCCTGCCTGGCCCCCGCCGCGCCTCCCTGGCCCCGCCGCGCCTGCCTGGCCCCGCCGCGCCTCCCTGGCCCCGCCGCGCCTGCCTGGCCCCGCCGCGCCTGCCTGGCCCTGCCGCGCCAGCCTGGCCCCGCCGCGCCTGCCTGGCCCCGCCGCGCCTGCCTGGCCCCGCCGTGCCTTCCTGGCCTCGCCAGCACCTGCCTGGCCCCACCGCACCTGCCTGACCCCTTCGCCCCGGCTCGTCTTGCCGTGCCGCCTCGGGCTCCGTCTCCTCTGCTCGCCCGTGCTGAGGCGCTTCGCGGCCGCCGTGCTGGAGGGGGCTGTCGCTGTGTTCCTGTGGAGCTGTGCCGCTGACCCTGCACGATGGCGGACTTCGTGCTCCGACTGGACGCGGAGGGCCATGCTGTTGACTTCGCCGCCTGGCTCTCCGATCTCCGCCGCCACCTTACAGGTCAGCGCCAGGATGGCCACTCTTTGGTTGTCCATGTCGACGGCTTGCTCCCCCGTCCCTCCGCACCTGCTCCCCTCCCTGCTGATCCCTCCTCTGATGACCGTGAGACCTTCTCTACTGCTGCGCTTGCCCGTGCGGTCTGGGACTCCCGCGATGCAGTCGCTCAGGTTGCCATTAGCCACGCCCTCCCTGTCTCTGAGCGCTCGCGTTTTGCTACTATTGAGACGGCCAAAGCTTACTTAGACGCTGTTATTGCCCGCTATTCCACACCCGCGTCTGCTTCTGCTGGTCGCCTGCTCTTCCCTATGCTTTTCCCAGACCTTGCAGCTTTCCCTACCGTCGCAGACTTTGCCACTCACCTGCGTGCCCTAGAGACCCGCTATCGCACTGCCAGCACTGCTGCCCAGCTCACTGCGCTCCCCCCCCCTTTCTGCATGACGCTCTATTTTATCGCCATGCGCCTGCCAGACCGCCTCGCTAGTGCTCGCGATCACTTTCTTAGCCAGCACCCGGGTGACCTCACTCTCACTGCCTTTGTCGACACCCTCACCGAGATCGAGACTCGCCAGCGCACTATCGCTCAGTCGAGCGGTGCGCCGGCAGTTTCTATCTTTCACGGTTGTGCCCCCTCCCAGTGTGCGTTCACTGACGTTTCGGCTGCGGTCGCCTCGGCGGCCCCTCTCACCGAGTCGGCTGGTGCGGTCCACCCGCAGCAGCGCTCGCGCCGCGGTGGCCGTGGTCGCCAGGGGGGTAGGGGTGGTGGTGGCAGTAGTGGTGGTGACGGTAATCCGCCTGCGGGGACTACCACTGGTGGGCAGGAGCAGCAGCCCCAGCCGCAGCAGGAGCAGCCCCAGCCGCAGCCGCCGCCCCAGCAGCAGTTACCGTCCCAGCAGCAGTCGCCGCAGCAGTGGGCCCGTCTCCCGCCTGGTTGGCCTGGCACCTCCGGAGGTAGTGGCCGTGGTGGCGGCCCGCGCAGCTTGGCGTCTACCGGCGGCTCCGGTGCTGTCACCTGCCAGTACCAGCTTCAGACCGGGCCTCTTCGCGGCACTCTGTGCCGCCGCCCGCACCCGACCGCCCGCTGTTTCCGCCGCCTCGACGATCTCTTTCGTCGTCGCTTTGGCCCGGCCCCGGACCTCCCCGACTGGCACAGCCTGCTCCGCCAGGGCGTGCCGATCTTTGAGTTAGACATGGATCAGCTAGGTGTTGCTTTGCATGCTTTGTATTCTGACACTTCTAGTTTTGCTGGATCTTATTACCCTGTGTACTCTAGTTTAGGTGTTGCACCACTGTGTAGCTTAGCCTCCCCTGCTGCGTCAGGCGTAGGACTGCCTAGGTTGCCTAGTCTAGTCGCTGCACCGGCTCCGTCCCCGGCCTCCGCCACTGCGTCGCTGTCCTTCACTCTCGACTCTGGTGCTTCTGCCTGCTTCTTCCGCGACCGTTCCACGCTCACGCCGCTTGCTGCACCTGCTGTTGTCTCTCTCGCTGACCCCTCTGCGGGTCCGGTCGTCGCGCGCAGTTCTACGTCCCTTCCGAGTCCGGCAGTTCCCTCAGGCTCCCTTACTGGCCTCCACGTTCCCTCGTTCTCCAGGAACCTGGTTGGTGTCGGCTGTCTCCAGGACCTCGGCGTCACCACCACGTTCCCCGGGCACGAGCGGTTCGCTGTCTGTTCTGAGGCTGTCTCAGGTTCCCCCCTTGCGACGTTCCCCCGGGACCCGATGTCCGGTCTGTTTACCCTAGACACCGCTTCCCCCCCGGTTGGTGCGTCCTCCCAAGTCTCTGCAGCTTGCTCGTGTCGGTCCCTCGCTCACCCCTCCCTTCTCTGGCACCACCGCTTAGGTCACCCTGCTCTCCCGCGTCTGCGTCACATGTCCCAGCACGGTCTTGTCTTAGGTCTCCCTGCGTCGCTCCCTGCCCTTCCTCCCTCGACTGCGCCACCGTGCACGCCTTGCGTCGAGGGTCGGCTTCGCCGTGCTCCTCACTCCTCCTCGCTGCGTCCTGCTACTGCCCCCCTTCAGACCCTGCACTTGGACGTTTGGGGCCCTGCCCCTGTCACCGGACCGCGAGGTGAGCGCTACTTCCTTGTGCTCGTCGACGACTACACGCGCTACACCACGGTGTTTCCCCTGGAGCGGAAGGCCGACGTGCCCGACGTTCTTCTCCCGTGGGTTGTGGCTGCGCGTCTCCACCGCGGTCTCCCCGTGTTGTGTCTCCACTCCGACCGTGGCGGCGAGTTCGCCTCTGGTCGGCTTGGACAGTTCTGTCGTGCGGAGGGCATCACCCAGTCGTACACCTTGCCGGACTCGCCACAGCAGAATGGGGTTGCTGAGCGCCGCATCGGCTTGGTCATGGAGGTCGCCCGTACCTCCATGATCCATGCCGATGCCCCCCATTTTTTGTGGCCGTTCGCTGTTCGCTACGCTGCTCACCAGCTTAACCTGTGGCCACGCTCCCAGCGGCCGCAGGTTTCGCCGACCCTCCTTTGGACCGGGTCCCCTGGTGACACGTCTGCGTTCCACGTCTGGGGCTGCCTTGCTCACGTTCGTGCCTCTGGCACGGACAAGCTCACTGCCCGCACTGTCCCCTGTGTCTTCCTCGGTTTCCCCCTGGACTCGTCTGACTGGCTTTTCTACCACCCGCCGTCTCACCGCTTCCTCCACTCTCGTGACGTCACCTTTGACGAGTCCGTCTCCTTCTACCGCCGCTTCCCTCACCGAGGTCTCCCAGTTGCCCCCCCCCTGTTCCTTGCTCCCTCTCCCCCGGTAGCCCCTGCCCCTCTCCCGCCTCGTCCTGCCCCGTCTGGTGTCTCCCACGTCACTCCCCTCCCGTCGGTTGTCCCCGTTGAGGAGTCTGCTGACTCTGGTGGTACCCCCGGTCCGTCCTTGCCGCGTCCCCCTTTCCCGGTGCCTCCGCCCCCACTGTCGCAGTCGCCGACCCCGCTGCCGCCGCCGTCGCCGTCGCTGCCGCAGCCGTCGCCGCTGTCGTCACCGCCGCAGCCGTCGCCGCCGCCGCCGCTGTCGCTGCCGCAGCCGTCGCCGCTGTCGCCGCCGCCGCAGCCGTTGCCGCCACTGCCGCCGCCGCTCTTGGCCCCTGGGGGTGCTGGTGTGGAGGAGGGTGTTCGTCCTGCGGCTTCTGGGGGTGCCGCTGGTGTTGGAGGGGGTTCTCGCTCTGGGGGTGTTGGTTCTGGGGGTGCTGCTGTTGAGAGTTCTGCCGACGGTCGTTCTGCCTCTGCTGGTCCGAGAGTTCCGGCCCAGCCGTCGACGCCGCCGCAGCAGCCGTCGCCGCCGGTTTCCGCTCTCCGCCTGCTCGGCCTTCCCTCACCGGACCGCGCGCCGGTGTCTCCCCCACCGCCTGCTGACCTCCCTGTCTACGGTCCTGTGTTCCCGCCACCGGACTCGTCTCCGGCCCGTCTTCCTCCTCGTTCCCCTCCTGTGTCTCCTCCGCTGTCCCCTGACCCTACCCCTCCGTCTCACGTTTGGGCTCGCCGTCCCCCCCGTGCTCGTCCCGTCTCTCCTGTCCTGCCCAACCACCCTATGTTGCTCCGTTCCCGCTCGTCTCGTCCTCCCCTCCTCCCGTCCCCTCCTCCCTCGTCCCTTGCTGTTGCACCTCCTCCGTTCTCTGACTACCTCCGTGCTTCTCGTCCCCTTGTCCCTCGGGTCCTTGCCTCTCTTGTTACCGACCCTGCTGTTCCTGTCTCGCGCCTTGACGCGCTTGTCGCCGCTGTCGCTGACTTCGCTTCTACCCGCCGCCTTGACTACGCTACCGCTCTGGTCTCTGACCCTGCCCGTCCTCTGTCCGTCGGGGGTGCTCCTGCCCTTGGCAATGACGTCCTAGAGGACAGGCAGTACGAGCTGGCTTTCCTTTCCGAGGCTGCTCCCCATCTCTGCTCCATGCTCCTAGTCCCT